ATTGCTGACTAGAATAATTCAACGCCCTACATTAGTGGCTTAGCAGCAAGAAGAGTATTGATATTCAAAGTCATAAATATAATTTAATTTAGAATCAAGTGTTCCTCACAATGTTTAGTGTTCAGAAAACATATGACACACACAAAAATACAAGTTAAAAATCCATTATAAATGTAATGAGCAGTAAAATAAAACAGAGTAAGATGAGGTAGGGAATTTTATTTATTTATTTTAAAGGTTTTATTTATTTATTTGGCAGAAAGAGAGAGAGAACAAGCAGGAAAATGGGTAGTGGGAGAGGGAGAAGCAAGCTCCCTGCTGAGCAAGCAAGAAGCCCAATGCAGGGCTTGACCCCAGGACCCCAATATCATGATCTGGACCAAAGGCAGATGCTTAACCAAATGAGGAGGTGGAGAATTTTAAAGAACAAAAACTAATATGTTAAAACAAAAATAAAAACTATTGGAGGGGACTTCCTGTTTCTAGTTTTCAAGATAAGGAGCTTGAAAGTTGTCCCTCCATCCTAACAACAAATAAAAAGCTGAAGAGACTGAAAAATCAACAACTCTTCAAGTGAGGACACAAGACAAAGTACTACCCCCATGATTGGACAGGCAAATACAGAGAATAACAACTTAAAGGAGTGTAAACTGTTGCAGTAGTGAGGAGTAGAAAAGCCTAAATTATATTTGATGAATTACTGGAGGCTCAGTTTAGACAACTCTGAGAGGTAAAGACTCCAGGGGAACCCTATAATTTTCTAAGACTTAACTCATAGTATAAATATGGGAGAAAAATGCTCTCCTGCTTCCAGCAGGGGAAGAGGAAAAGGAACCATTTTGAAATATGCCAGAACACTCTTTTCTTACTAACAAGGCCCAATCTCAGGAGAAAAAACTTAGTTAGAGCCTAACCTTCTGGGGTATTATCAGAGCCCAACTGACTCGAAGGGAAAGAAACCAACCCCATCCATTTCTAGTCTTCCATGTGAAAGAAGAAAAATATCCAACATCAGCTCAGTCTAGCTATCCTCTTCCAATCGAAGAGTAAAACAAAACAAAACAAAACAAAAAAACAAAAAAAAACCACCCTGAAAACACTTGTCAGACATGTCACAATCTTGAGGCATAGGATCACTAAAGACTGATACATACTTATAGAACTATAGAATGCTTTCTCTCCTTGTACGTCTTAGCAGCACATTACTTAAAGTCTATTTATTTTACGTGGTACATCATGACCAACTATAAAAAGCAAAAATTGCAAACTGTACCATAAAGCAAACAACATGATTTAAAGAGACAATATAAGCATCAGAACCAGGTGTGGTAGGGATGTTGGAATTATCAGATTGGGAATTTAAAACACCTATGATTAATATGCAAAGAGTTCTAATGAATAAAGTAGGCAGCATGCAAGAACAGATGGGTATTGTAAGCAGAGAGATGGAAGCCTAAGAAAGAACCAGAAAGACCAGCTAGAGAAAAAACATACTGTAATAGAAATAAAGAGTAACTTTGATGGGCTTATTAGTAGATGACATGGCTGAGGAAATAATCTCCAAGTTTAATAGAAATTTCCAAAACTGAAAGCAAAGAGATCAAAGACTGAAAAAAAAAATCAGAATATCCAAGGGCTATGGGACAACTATGAAAGGCATAATATGAGTAATGTGAATACCAGAAGGAAAAGAGAAAGATAAAGGAACAGAAGAAATATTTGAAAATATAATCACTGAGAATTTCCCAAAATTAATGTTAGACAACAAACAGCAGATTCAGAAAACTGAGAGAATGTTAAGCAGGATAAATGCCAAAAGATTTAGTCCCACATATAATTTGCAAATATAGAAAAATCAAGTATAAAGAAAAAAATCCTGAAAGAAACCAGAGAATCAAAGATACCTTACTAATACAAGAACAAAGAATTACATTTGACTTTTCAGAAGCCATATAAACAAGAAGAAAGTGGAGAGAAGTATTCAGTGCTGAGAGAAGACAAAAAAAAACAAACTACCAACCTAGAATTATATACCTGGTAAAATATTCTTCAAAAGTGAAGGCAAAATAAATACTTTCTCAGACAAATAAAACTTGAGGGAATATGTTATCAGTAGACTGGCCTTGCAAGAAATGTTAAGAGAAGTTTTTTTAGACAGAAGGAAAATAATGTACATTAGAAACTAGGATCTAAATAAAGAAAGGAAGAGCACTAAATAAGTGAAAGTAAAATAAAAAAACTTTTGTTTTTCTTATTTTTAAAGATTTATTTATTTATTTTAGAGAGAGAAAAAGAGAGGAAGAGCACAATTGGGAGGAGGAGAGGGAGAGGAATAGAGAATCTCAGGCAGACTCCATGTTGACCGAGGAGCTTGATGCGGGTCTCAATCTCACAACCCTGAGATCCCAAACTGAGCTGAAACCAAGAGTCAGACACTTAACCAACACGCCACCCAGGCACTGCTTATTTTTCTTATTCTTAATTGATGTAACAGATAATAGTTCTTTCAAAATAGTATGAACAATATGAATTATTTATGGTTACGTATATATCTTAAAATATAAAATATTATATAATATAACATTATATATATTCTTTTTATGCTAAATATAAGTAAATAATATATAATATATAAGTAAATAATAGATATAATAATGTATAAGTAAATACATAATGTATTTACTTACATATAAATATATCTAAAATAAATATATATAATATATAAAATAAATATAATAAATATATTATATATAATTATATATAATGCATGTATGTAAATAATATATAATAATGTATAAGTAAATATATATGATATATAAGTAATATATGTCTAATAATATATAAGTATAAAATAATATATGAGTAAATAAATGACATCAATGATATAAGGGATGAAAGGGAGGAATTTGGATTATTTTGTTATTAAAATGTACTCACAGTACCTGTGAAGTAGTATAGTGTTATCTGAAAATAGACTCTGATTAACTATAAATGTATATTGCAAACTCTACAACAACACTAAAAAAGTTAAAAAAAAACGGAAAGAAAAAGGAAAAAAATGTCATACAGTATTCTCAGTTAAAAGCACATACACAAAAAGAGAAAGACTGGAAGACAAAAATAGAAATGAAGAATAAGGGCAGAAGACAGTAACAATTGTGGTAAATATTAATCCAACTATATTAATAAGTTTGAATGCTGATGGCTAAATGTACCAATGAAAAGACACAGATTGTCAGAATGGAACAAAAATCACAAACAACTATCTGTTTTTTACAAGAAACCTATTTTAAATATAAAGACATATAAATTAAGGGTAAATGGGTGGAGGAAATATACTATACTAATGCTAATTTAAAAAGAAATAAAAATAGCTATATTAATTTTAAACAAAGTAGACTTCAAAGCAAGGAAAGCTATCAGGGATAGAGAAAAGCATTACATAATGATATAGGGGTCAACTTTCTAAGAGCATAACAATCTTTACTTTGTAAGTGCCTGACAATAGAGTGTTAAACTACATGAGGTAAAAACTAATAAGACTGCAAGGAGAAAGAGATTAATTCACTATCATAGTTTAAAACTTTACTAGCCCTCAGTTAGAAATGGACAAACTCAGCAAGTAGAAAATCAGTAAGGGCATAGTTGAGCTTAACAACACCATCAATCAACTGGATATAACTGATGTTTGTAGATCACTTCATTCAACAGTAGCAGAATACATACTCTTCTCACACTTACATGGAACATTTGTCAAGGTAAGCCACATTCTGAGCCATAAAATACACATAAAAAAATTTAAAAGAGGGAGACTTGGGTGGTGCAGTCGGTTAAGCAGCCAACTCTTGAATTCAGCTCAGGTCGTGATCTCAGGGTCGTGAGACTGAGCCCCACGTTGGGCTCCACGCTGAGCATGAAGTCTGCTTGAGTTTTTCTCCTTCTCCCTCTGCTCCTCCTGCTTGTGAGTGCTCTCTCTCTCAAATAAATAAATAAATTTTATTAAAAAAAAGAAATTTAAAAGAATAGAAATCATAATTTTATTTGTCTCTTCTTAGACCACAAAGAAATCAAACAGAAAGATAACTGGAAAATTCCAAAATTGTGGAGATTAAACAACATACTTCTAAATAACATATGAATCAGAGAAGAAATCTCAAGAGAAATTTAAAAATATTTTGAACCAAATCAAAATGAAAATACAACTTATCAAAATTTGTAGGATGCCGTGAAATGTAATGCTTAGAGGGTAATTAATAGCATTGAATGTATATATTAGACAAGAAGTAAGATCCAAAAATAATATTCTGTTTCTACCTTGGGGAACTAGAAAAAGACAAAAGAACAAGTATTTGATAAAAGCCAACACCCATTGATTTTAAAAAACTTTCAGTAAGAAATTGAGGAGAATTTCCTCAACTGACAAAGCATAGCTAAAAACCCCCTACAGGTAACATTATACTTAATAGTGAGAAACCTGTAGTTTTCCAACCGAGATCAGCTACAAGTCAAGGATGTTCCCTCTTTTCACTCCTTTTCAATATACTAGAATTTCTAGCTAATGAAATGAGATAAGAAAAGGAAATAAAAGTAGATAGATAGGGATGGAAGAAATAAAACTGTCCAGGAATGACATGATCATCTATTTGGAAAATTCAAAAAAACTGAAAAAGAAGCAGAAAATGGAATGTCATCATTAAAATTCTGAGAACACAAAACAAAATCCTTAAATCCAGTGCACTATACTCAGTGAAAAAACATTCAATTATAAAGGTAAAATTATTTTTTAGAGAAATAAATGTTTTTCTTTCCATCAGACTTTCACTATGGGAAATGTTAGAAAGATTCCCCATGCAGAAAGATGATAATTCCAATAAATAAATGATTTTCTCCATAAATAAATTAATTCTATGGAAATTGGGAAAGGATAAACATAAAAGATATACTTACGTTTTATTTATTTAAATGATAGTTGACTTTCTAAAGCTTTTAAACATTTTCAGCAAAATCTGCCCAGAGCGCTGTCCAGCCCTGGGACAACTCCTGGTGAGGCAGAAGAAAGGGAAACCCTCCTGCTGGTCTTTGAAGAAGCCGCTGGACAGACTGAGCCACAACCACAGTCCTTTGAGAAGAGTCCACTTCCTCTGGCACCAGCGAATGAACCAGGACTTCAGGCTGCCATACACACCGTCCTCACTGTTCCTGCCGATCTTGTGTTTGGGGGATGACCAGCCATTTAAAACACACAGTGCATTCTTATCACGGAGCATCAGCTTCTTTCTTCAAGTCTTCCCCTGCCCGTTGCAAGTTTTGAATAGATTCCAGTGTTCTCAAATTCAATTCTAACACTTTTTGCCAGCCCATTAATTATTGTTGGGGAGGAACAGAGCTCTAGAATTACTCTTCTTCTCTACCTGCAAATATACTAATTATGTATTGATCTGTTTATTTATTGCATACCTTATCCATCCAAAAATGCAACACAAGTGTACTGATCTTATTTTGCTCATCATCTGGCCGTGGTAGTATAATCATGAAGATCCAGAATAGAACAAAGCAAGAAAGTAAACAACAGAAGATGACCATTAAAAATCTAGCACTAAACTTGGAGTAGTAGTCCAGGGGGAATATTCTTGTTAGGATATCGCTCTCCTCTATGTTGCAACCAGGTTTTCAAGCAGTTTTAAAATTCTTTGGTGACTTACTATTACATAAGTTCTGGGAGAGGGAAAAAAAAAGAGAGAGAGAGAGAGAGAGAGAGCTGTAGGAGGTAGACTACTTCTTATTTTTTTAAAAAAGATTTTATTTATTTATTCATAAGAGACAGAGAGAGAGAGAGAGGCAGAGGGAGAAGCAGGCTGCCTGCTGAGCAGGGAGCCCGATGCGGGACTCGATCCCAGGACTCTGGGATCACGACCTGAGCCGAAGGCAGATGCTTAACGACGAGCCACCCAGGCGCCCTAGACTACTTCTTGAAGTCTTGTTCCCACAGTGGCTCACATCACTTCTGCCCCCACCTCACTTGCTTACATGTCTGAGTAATGCAGTTCAGAAGCAGAGTGAATGGATTTTGGTGAGCTGCAAGCAATTTCTTCTGTGAAATAGAATCGTTTTCCTTCCAGGTCATTACTAAAGAATGGTGGCTAGTTTTCTTAAGGGAGAGTAGGTTGAATTGAAACCCAGGAAGAGAAGTTGCATATGGTAAGTCTGGAGGCAGGTAAGAGTTTGGAATGTTTCATGTCTGAAATATGGCGTGCCCAAAAGGAAGAGTAGTGAAAACAGACGTGGAAAAGTATGCAAGGAGCAGACCAAATAGGACATATGTGTAATATTTATATTACATATTTATATAATATATTTTATGTACAAAATGTTTAAAATTGTATTTGTGTTGCAATGAGAAGCTGCTTAATAGATATTAAACAAACAGAAAATGAATTGATTTTGTATATTTTAGGCATCACTAACCCTGTACATTCAGAATTAGCATGAAGCTTAATATATGCATAGTCAATTAGGAAGCTTTGGCTAACAGAATGGCAGTGAAGATAAAAATAAATATATAATGTTTATGAGGTAAAGCCAATAGAAAATGGTTGACACAGACTTGCAATTTTAGCCTGAAAAAAAGGCATATGTTTCCAAATACTTGAAAAGATGTCATGTAGTACTGTTCTGTGTTACTATTTGGAGTTGTTCTTTATAGAGTACCTTGCAGAGAGTACATCCTTGATACATACATTTTAAAATAATGAGTGCTTTTAAATACAGAAAAAGTACAACACTAGGGGCAGAAAAGAGAAGAATAGCTCCTGTGTATGGAAGACATTTAGCTCAATATAAAAAAGGAATGATCTGAAAATAAGAAAGCATCTTAATATGAAACCAGATGTCTTAGAAGCCAGTGGCCTTTTCATAAAAGAGGTTGGATTATCTGAGGTTAGACACTGAATCACAGAGAAAGAACTACCCACTTAGCAGAAGACTGAAAAGCTGTGTTCAAATTTAATGGATAAGGAAATTTTGTGCCAAAATAAAAGATTTGAAAACAATGTAGACAAAACCAAAGTCCAACAGGGAGGCACATGTTGGCAGGTGGTCTTCCCCTCACCTAGCTGTTCACAGTGGCAGTGAATTAGTTATTAGCCAAAAAGATCGCATGTGTCCTAGCAGGTGATGTGCCCATGGCAAAGATAAAGAACCTTCAAACCTACATTCTATACATGTCATTCATAATTTTCCCTAAAGCTATAATAAATATGTAAATATTTTTATTTAAAAGAGGCAGTGTTTAGACTCCTCTAATATGACTTACCTGATGAACAATACATTTTATACTTTAAAATCAGACATTTTTGTGGCTAAATCAACCTGAAAATTGATACTTGGTATAAAAACATATTTGTATTTTAATATTTTTGAAAGAATTATTAGAGTCTTGATTGAACCTATTATCTACTGTGAAAATGAGATTTTTAATTAGCTTTACTGAAGCTGTGCAGATAGTGATAAATGATGAAAATCTTTTTTTAATTTTTGCTTGTTTTTGTTATTAATATTTGTATAATGGAATTCAGTATATAACCAGTTCACCTCAGTTGTTTAATTTTCAAAGTACATTTTAATGAAATACCTTTCATTAGAAAAATTCAACTTTCAAAATGGAAAATCCCTTCAACTCCAAATGGCAGTTAAATAAAATAGTTCAGGTTGATCCTCTCCTCAAGAGAAACAAAGAGTGGGTCTGAGTCAAAATACAATGGGAAAAGAAAGAATGTGACATAAAATGAGGCAGAATAATGTGACATGTGTTCATAGAGGTTTCATTAAAAACTCAAAAGTCAGTTTCTTTAAATTGGCACTCAGATATGAGCATTTGTTCAAACAGCAGAATTCACACTGTAATAGTTGCATAATCAGCAAAAATGCCAAACATTTTCTACGTTAATCCTTTTCCCCTCTCTGTTGCAATGACAGAAGTAAATTCTCTGTGGAGATCAATAGTGTGTGTATGTGTGACAACTACCAAATCATAGAGTCCAGGGGTCTAATGTTTTATGAAAGAGAAGGATTGGCCAGCAAACTGAGACAGGGACCCTCAGAAGTAGTGTTTTTGTACCTGCTGATAATGGATTTTAAGGAAAACTATTTTATTCTAAATCTGTAACTCTAGTCAGCCACCACCATCATCTTCCTCCCAGTACACTTTCCCTTAGGTACAAGAAATCATAGATTTGTAAGGATTCTTCTCTCCCTAGAACATTTAGAGAAAAGGGATTTTGACTCACAGTGGTTTTTTAAGTCAGAACATTGTAACAGTTAGTTCTTTATTGTCTGATTCTGGTCAATCTGTTTGGTCCACTTTTGACTTAGTTGCCTAATGTGATCTGTATGTTATAGTTACTTTTCTCCATAGTTCTGATGCTGCCACCCATCTATTAGCCACACTGAGAGAGCCACATGTTCTAGCTTCCCTAGAACACCACCACCTTTGGTCCACTCTAGGTAGTAGGCTTCTAGAGAAAGGTTGAGCACAGCAGATGATAATTTCAGCATCATCCAGAATGTGGTGCTCTCCTCTTCTTTCCTAATTTTTTGAGCATGCCTAGCTCTGCCATCCCTAGACTGTTGGCCTGCAATTGCATATCTTCAAAATGCTCCGTTAACTTACTGAAACCTAAACAAGAAAATATGGAAATTTTGAATTACAACTTTTCTGAACTGCCAATGTCATCAACCTATGTGGTATACCCACTTTAACTCATAGCCAGAGAAATTATATATTTTTATGTAATTAACAGTTCAAGCTTTGAGAATAATAGCTGTGGATTTTCCTGTAACTAGGATTACTATGCTTGGCCTTCCTTCACATTAATTCATTGAAATGTATACCTTTTTCCTTCCTTTCAGCCTTTGGGTTCCATTTTACTTTTAGGTGCATTTCTTGTAAATACTAAAAATATAAATTTAGCTTTGTTCAATTTGATTCTCCAGCAAGGGTAATGAAGGCATTCATGTTTAAGGTGTTGACTAATATTTACATTTTTGTTACTACTATCTCAAAAAATGGTTTATTCCTGCTAGTCTTTCTTCCTTCCTTTCTTTCTTCTTTCTTTCTTTCTTTCTTTCTTTCTTTCTTTCTTTCTTTCTTTCTTTCTTTCTTTCTTTCTTTTTCTTTCTTTCTTTCTTTCCTTCTTTCTTTCTTTAATTTTTTATAGTAATTATATCATATTATAATTATATTATATTTTTAGATACCCATAAAATTGTATATGGACATATTTAAAATATATTCTTATCAACATCAAGACACAGCTTTTTGATAGACCAGTGTCAGAACAGGAATCCATCAAAATCTTAGAGGAGAACACAGGCAGCAACCTATGTTGCTGCAACAACTTCTTTTTTTTTTTTAAAGATTTTATTTATTTATTTGAGAGAGAGAGAATGAGAGATAGAGAGCATGAGAGGGAAGAAGGTCAGAGGGAGAAGCAGACTCCCTGCTGAGCAGGGAGCCCAATGTGGGACTCGATCCCAGGACTCCAGGATCATGACCTGAGCCGAAGGCAGTCGCTTAACCAACTGAGCCACCCAGGTGCCCGCTGCAGCAACTTCTTGTTAGACACGTCTCCAAAAGCAAGGAAAGCAAGGGCAAAAATGAACTATTGGGACTTCATCAAGATAAAAAGCTTTTGCACAGCAAAGGAAATAGTCTACAAAACCAAAAGGCAACTGACAGAATGGGAAAAGATATTTGCAAAGGTCTTATCAGATAGAGGGCTGGTATCCAAAATCTATAAAAAACATATCAAACTCAACACCCAAAGAATGAATAATCCAGTTAAAACATGGGCAGAAGGCATGAACAGACATTTCTCCAAAGAAAACATACAAATGGTCAATAGATACATAGGCATATAAAAAAATGCTCAACATCACTTGGCATCAGGGAAATAGAAATCAAAACCACAATGAGATTCCACCTAACACCAGTCAGAATGGCTAAAATTAACAAGTCAAGAAACAACAAATGTTGGCAAGGATGCAGAGAAAAGGGAACCCTCCTACACTGTTGGTGGGAATGCAAGCTGGTGCAGCCACTCTGGAAAACAGTATGGAGGTTCCTGAAAAAGTTGAAAATAGAGCTACCCTATGACCCAGCAATTGCACGACTGGGTATTTACCCCAAAGATACAAATGTAGTGAAAAGAAGGGGCATCTGCACCCTGATGTTTATAGCAACAATGTCCACAATAGCC